AGTTCATAGTCAGCTGGCTCCAAGGCAAAGAGAATGGAAGAGGGGGCATAGCAGAGGAGGGTTTTCTTATGGCATGGCAGTGAGAAAGCAGAGAGTGTTATCAAGGGATGGGGAGACAGATCTTTCCAGGCCACACCCAGCTCCTCCAACCAGGCTTCATCTCTCAAATCATAATTAGCTATAAACTTATCACCTAACCCACTGAAAATATCACTCCCTTGTGAACCAATTATCTCCCCACCTATGAGCCCCACCTATGAGCTCATGAGATTTTAGGGAGATACCTAGGAAGACATAAACCATAACATTCTACCCTGTCCCCCCGACAAGAATTGTGCCCATTCTTTATGCAAAATGCACTTAGCCCATCTCTAAGCCCATCTTCCAAAATCCTAACAATTTCAGCATTGCTGAAAAGTCCTAGTTCAGAGTCTCCTCTGAGGTTTAGGACAACTCTTAGCTGCAAGCCCTTGTAAAAATTGAAAGTTACATGCTGACATACAAAGGCACAGGATAAACATTGCCATTCCACAAAGGAGAAAGAGGAGAGGAAAAAAGGAATGGTGCCACCTCAAGTCCTAAATCCAGCAAGGCAAACATTGACTCCTATAGATGGTGAACTTATGACATATATGACACAGTAGGCTGTTTATTGTCATTGAAAGCTCAAAAAGGTTCACCATCACTGCCATAGATCCATGCCCAGTACCTGGCATAATTTATGGGGAGATGTGAACTCCAAAAAGCTTGGGTGATCCTGCCTCTCTGGCACTGCCAGTGGTTGCAGCCCCATGGCTTCTTTTGGTTGGGCTTTGCTCACTTTTTGTAGCTTTCCTCAGATGTTCCATGTACCTGGCTTTTCCAACGTCTTTGGGTGTCCCCTCTGCCTTTGGCTTCACACTGACAGCTTCACACACTGTGCCCTTGGTTATACAGCCTTGCCTCCCAGGTCTTCTGCTGAAATCTGGGTGGAAGTTTCCATGACCCCACAACTTTTATATTCTGTACGCACCTACAGCAGCACTATGTAGATGATGCCAAGGTCTGCCACCATTGGAGCTGGTCAATCTTGCTGGTGGTTGCAGAGGCCTCTCAGTGGCTGGATGGTTGCGCACAGTGAAATGAAGCCAGAGAATCAGGTTCCATTCCCTAAGCTGGTGCAATTCTGGAGCATGGTGCCCTGAGGCTCTCTTCTCAGTCTTTTACCTTTGCAATTTTGAGCCTGCAAAGGGTGAAGCCTTGCTTGTTCCTCACATTCCTTCAAGGCATTTTTCCTACTGTCCTGTTCCAAAACACTTGGCTTATTGTTAATGTTAATCTTTTCAGCAACTAAGTTTTTCTCTACTCCATCTTCAAGGGCCCCAGATTTATTGCAGCCTCCTTTCTGGCCAAACTCAAAGCTTTTAAAATCATTCTGCTGGGCTGTTTGCTCTTGATTTGCAAAGTAGAGCTGGCTAAGATCTGCTTAACAGTACCCAAGCCACAGTCTGAATATTTGGCTGCTTTGAAATTTCCCCCTGCCAGATTAGTCGTTCATCCTTAATCTCAGTCTCCCACAAAATCTCTGGACATGAGCAAAATGCAGACAAATTTTCTGCCAGAGCATACCACACATGGTCTGGAGTCTAATTGCCAACATAGACCTTCCCAACTAAAATCTCTTGAGCCTGTTCTTTTCTGGTTGTATTACTGTCAACATTCTCGTCTTCTCAGCTCTGACCAGAATCTCTCATCAAGCTTGGCTTACAGAATTCTAGGGTAGCTTCTCCAGATAACATCTCCCCAGCTTTTGATACCCTTCCCACAAGCCAGTTCAAAGGGCCTCTGAACCATATGGTCAGTAGTATCACAGAAATAGATGCATTCCGGACCCCACAGTCTGTCTTAGTTACTTTCTTATTGTTGAGACATAATATTCAACAACTATAACTTGAAAGAAGACAGATTTATTTGGGCTCAGTTTGTAGAGTTTTCAGTTCATAGTCAGTTGGCCCAAGGCAAAGAAGAATGGCAGAGGGGCATGGCAGAGGCAGCTTTCTAATGGCACAGCAGTCAGGAAGCAGAGAGTGTTATGGGGGAAGAGAAAAGGTGATAGATCAATCCAGGCCACACCCCCAGTGACTCCAACCCGGCTTCACCTCCCAAATCATATTCAGTTATCAGTTTATCGGCAGACTAATTCACTGACAAGTATCATGCTCCTGCGATCCAGTTATCTCCCAGAAGCCCTGCCTATGAGCACACAAGGCTTTAAGGGACATCCACATATAAACCATAACACAGACATACTTGAACAAAAGTGCTGCAAATGTTGGAGATACAGTCTTACAGAAGAAGGGTGAAATTGCCAATTCTAGTGTTAGTCCTGTTGCTTTAGCCAGGGTTTCAAGGGCCAGCTATCTCCATATCTCAGCATGTTAATGATTTCTGCCCTCACTGAGGCAGAAAGGCTGAAAGAGGTGTATCATGTCTTCACATGGCCAGTCTCCCAAGCAGAAAACAAGAGGAATGGGAGCAAAAAACCCCTTTCTTCCTTGTACTAACAAGTAAGAAAATCTATCCTAGCAGGCCCCAGGAGGTTTCCATTCAATTGAAACTGGGTCACAGGTTTAACTCTCATGGCGAGAAGGGTTGTCAGAGAATCTGACATTTCCAACTTGTAACAGAATGGAAAAATCACAGCTGGGTCTGGCTTTTGGGTGGGAAACTGGTAGTGCCCACCACAGTCAGCAAACCAGTGAGTTTCAAGGTCACGGGTTATTGAGAAATATGATGTAGCAGTATTCATTTGGAGTGAATATTCCATAGACTTCATCCTTAGTCATTAGTTTAGTAAGTTTTTTGTTTTGTGTCTGAGCAGGCTTTAACCCACTCAAATATAAGTATCCTGCTACTGACAAAAAAAATTTTGTTGTTGTTTTTTTGGAGACAAGGACTATGTTGCCTAGGCTGCCTCTAAATTCCTGAGCTTAAGAGATGCCTCTGCTTTAGCTTCCCAAGTAGCTGGAACTATAGATATGTGCCTCCTTGTGCCCAGCCAAAAAAAGGATTTTTCTTTTTTGGAGTACTGGGGAATGATCTAGGGCCTTTATACCATGCTACACCCCTAGTCTTTTTTAGTTTTGAGGCAGTCTTGCTAAATCACTCATTTGGCCAGGCTGGGCTCCAACTTTGATCCTCTTTCCTCAACCTGCCAGAGTGCTACCACACTCTCATCTGAGAGAAGGTTACTTCTGAGTAGGGAGACCTTTCTAGTTGTCCTATTTGCTCTAGACTCCTATCTTTCCTATCCATAAACCCAAGGTCTGGCAGGGAGGCTCATGATTCAGTGCACTTTGTCTGAAAGGCCAGTCACTATTAAAGCCATCAAAAAGTGAGCAGTTGACCACAATAATACGTCGTTGGAGTCCCAGCACTGGGGAGACAAAAGCAGGAGGATCACTTGAGTCCAGTTCAAGTAAGTAAGCATAGGCATTTTCTCCCTTGCCTGCCCTCTGCAGCAGCCTCATAGGACAGGGCAATACAGTGTGTGACTTCTTAGAAGTCTCTTTTAAGTAAGGACGCTCCCCTACCATACACTTCGCTCTGACTGTCACGGGCAGTGGTATTACCTCTCATCTAGACAACTGACTATTACAGCTCCCTGCCTGGACTCCTTATCAAGAAGGCACTTGGTCCCCTGAAAGGCTGCAGCCAGATAGGCAGAGAACTACAGAAGAACCAGAAGAAAGCGTTTATACACTTAGGCAGAAAGCCTCACTTTCACTCTCTAAATCCATTAACTAAGGAAATATTTTACAATTCCAAGGCACTTGGTTAATAATCTGATTCTGATCTACGTGTAAATATTTAATGAACACTTGTGACATTAAGTCAACTCAAGGTCTTATTTATTCAACCTACTTAAAGCTCATGTAAAGCCCTTAGAGACTTGTATCAAACTGTTAAATTGGAAAATACATGAAAATAGTATCTTCAGTAGACCGGTTTTCCTCTTAATGCGCTTTATGAATGTAACCAAAAACCCAGGGAAGAGGGAAGGGCACCAGGAGAGTGGAGGTGAAGAGAAAGGGGAAGAGGAAGGGGGCGGTGAGAAAGAAAAATTCTGTTTCCTGTAATTTTCTGCATTTGCTTTAATTCTTATATGTCCTTACTAACCCTCTAATGCCCTCTAGTGCTCAGTGTATAAAGCTGTCACCTAACCCTGCACTATGTTCCCAATCCTTCAAACAGCCCAGTCCAGGCTCAAATTCTCCATCCTCTTGTCTTGGCCTCCCAAAGTACCGGCTATACAGATATCTACCATCAACAATCAGCTCTGAAAGTCCATTTTTTAACTTTAAAACTAAGCTTAGGGATGGGGATTTAGCTCAGCAGCTTAAGTGTCTGCCTGACAGGCCTAAGGTCCACACACACACACACACACACAAAGAAAGAAAAAAAAAGAAATGTAAAACCAAGCTTATACCTGGAAGACACCAAACTTTTTGTTTTACAGATAACTCCAAAGAAATAAGGTACCGAATTGAGCCAGGCAATCTTCTGAACTTGTGGCCACCCCACCTATAACTTATCTTGCAAATTCTCTTTATTACAAATGTTTCTCAGAAATTTCAACAATCAATTAAAATTAGAGCACACTAACATAATTGCCGTATCTTTTTTCTAATGTTGTTCTAACTAAAAATCAAATTGCTGACCAAACTTAAGGATTTGTAAGTAATATGGGTGCATTTCAAACTTTGTACAAGTTTAGAAAATGTTAACACTGAAAAAAAAAAAGAGTTAGGACAGATCCCAAATGGATTTGGCTATTTATTAGAACCAATTTATCACTGTCTCTAAGTAGGCTAATATCCTCCCAAGTGAATCTCTTTGCTCACTGACAGGAAAAGGGGTTTGTCGTTTTAACTTGGAACACATATTTTTACCATTTCATCATTTTGCTGGTGGGAATAAATTGAAACTTATCCAGTATGGATGTATCACTTACAGGAACATTACTGAGTAACAGAAGATTTATTCAAATATTTAATTGGAAGGAAATACATCTGGAATAAGTTTTATTGGAATTCATATAAAAAGTACTCCATTAAAACTAACATCATAAACAGTTGATTTTATCTGGAACCAGAAATATTAATCAATTGGAACCTTGATATCCTAACCTTTTCTTCCTTGCATAAAGCCAGCTGAGTTTTCCAATTTATATTGCAATTACACCTTCTTGCTTTAGGTAGAGCCTTATTTTCAGTGAATATTTTAGAGAGATCACTCAAATTACCTAATTTGAGGCTTCTCCCTTGTCCTCAAAAAATAAAAAAAAAAGTGCTAGGGAACATTCCTGTCTTCAAAATCTAACTTGCTAAGATCAGCAAGTCAGCAGCAATTCAGTGTGTGTTGCTCCTAGTTACTCAATGAATTAAGAGATAATGAACTTGGTTCTTAGATGTCCATTTTTTTTTTTTTTTTTTTTTTTGGTGGTACCAGGGGTTGAGCTCATGACCTTGCACTTGCCAGGCAGGGGCTTATGCTGCTGAGCTAAATCCCCAGCCCTTGTTCTTAGATGTCAACATAGATCCCATTGATTAGATAATCAAGTCGTGAATACCGTTTCCTGCGGAGGGATTCTGAGATTATTCTACCCAAAAGGACCAGGCCTATTACCAGGAACAGAACACCAAAGAGCAGGGTCCCCAGGAGGAGCCACTTTTCAAATGGAAGGCCATACTGGTTTTTTGGAACACTCTTTGGTGATGAGCTGTCTATAGCAGGCTTCTCATTTTCCCAGGAAATAGTTTTATTTGTAGTGGAAGATTCCACATTGGACAAAGGGAGTGTAGTAGGGTTATGCACATGCCCTCTGTTTGAAGTGAGTTTAGAGATTTCTCTAAAGGGCACCGTTTCCGGGGTGCCTTTCAAGTCCCTAGATGCCTGAAAGATGGTAGTCAAAACTCCTGCTGCAGTCACAGCTTGGGGGGTAGCCACAGCACGTGTATAAACTGTAGAAATGGGGGCTGGAGGAGGCTGAGTGGGGACAGTGGTTATGAGTGGAACTGTGGTAGCCACCTGTGGTTGAAAAGTCACCAGAGGTATCTCTGAGGTACTGGTGGGTGCAAGAAATACAGGCTTCAGAGTCACAGAGTTGTTATGTTGAAAACCAACAGCTGCTGCAGGGGAGGTGGTTGAGTTTTTAGGCAACAAAGGAGCTACTTCTGGCTCTGAAGAAGACTGTAAACTCTGAGAGTGGCCTTTGTCTCTATTATAAGGGAACTGGGTACTTGCTTGGCTGATCTGGGAGAGTTTCTGTAGGTGACTCGAAGATCCAGACCTCTGAGAAGATATATTTCTCCACAAGAGACCAGTGGGCTTTGAAAAATCCATCAGAGGAGGGAGAGGGGACGTGATGGCTTGTGGAGACCAACCATGAGAGAGAGAACCTTCTTGTGTTAACTCTTGATGTAGAATATCAGTCAAAGACAAAACATCTGAAAATGCAAAGAAAATAAAAGAGACACTTAAATCATCCATTCTAAGGTTAAAAATAAACATGTATCAGCTTTTTCAGTAGGTCTCCAAACTGTTGATACTTGACTGATTGATTTTGCTGGAGCTGGGGATGGAACTTGGGACTCTACGCATGCTTGGCAAGTGCTCTGTCACTGAGCTATGCCTCCCTCCTCCCTGTTACTTGGCATTTAATACAAAACTGAAAAGATTTAAGTTGTTAAATCAGAATTGGACAGCACTGCTCCTCACCTCATGCTGTGGTTTATTTCTAGCTTGATGGGACAGGAATGTGTGGAGGCAGAGCAAACAAATTATGGAAGAGGTGGATGGTTGGATGGTTGACAGGGTGGGTGGTTATTTATTTATTCATTTACTTATTTATTGACAGGGTCTCGGTATGTAGTTTGGAAAAGCTAAGAGGAGCTCACATGGTCCGCAAGAGGTTTAGGAAGATGAGAGGTATACGGATTGGGTCAGGCAGAGAGCTGGGTCAGGGTGACGTGGGCAGGATGGGAACTAGCATAGAGAATTCTGGCAGGTGGCAGAAGTTCTCACAGGACACTGTCACCCAGGACTGAGAGAACTAGGATGTATTAGGATAAATGGTACAGTGTGGACATGGGGCAGGCAAGAAAAGATATGCAAAAGCCTTGGGAAGACGAGTTGACAGAATCAGAGAGAGAGAGAGAATTCCTGTGGTGTGCTCTTTTGTGTTGTTTTATTTTTTGAGACGGGGTTTCACTATGCAGTTCAGGCTGGCCTTGAACTCACTTTGTAGTCCAAGCTGGCCTCGAACTCACAGCAATCCTCCTGCCTCATCCTCCCAAGTGGTTTGTTTGTTTTTTCAGTGATGGATATTGAACTCAGGCCTTTGCAACTGAGCTACATCTTCAGCCCTTTTTATTTATTGTTTTTTGAGAGAGGGTCACCCCAAGTCATTAAGTTGCCCAGACTGGGTTCAAATTTGTAATCCTTTTACCTCAGTCTCTCAGAGTGCTGGAGTTATAGGTGGGAGCCACAGCTGGCTGCTATATGGCTGTGACAGAGATGAAGATTTTACAAGGAGAAAGGAGAAGGAGCTGGAAGGTGTGGTCACCTCTGAGGGCACTGGGCCAAGGCAACAGCACAAGGCTGATGACATTTTTCCAACTGTACTCAGACGAAGGAGAATTTAATCTCAAATCTCAAAGCTTAAAATTTTAGAGCCAATCTTAGGTTGTGAGGATGACAGGCCTAATATTTGAAGTCTTGATGGTCACACTGAGGGTGTATGGGGCAGAAAATCAAGTTTTAAATCCCTAGAAGGAGGAACCAGCCTCAGATCCTACTTCCTGCTGGAGAAAGCTTGGGATTTGGCTCTTAACCACACACACCATCCATCACGGCTCAAACCGGAAAAGCTTGTTAAGGCACTCAAGAGCAACGAATGATAATTTGAATTGTTCTGATTTACTCTGCCATGTGGCTAATCATTTTGCTTAGATTGGAACTACAGGAGAGAAACAGAAGGACTTCTTAGTACATATTGGTCCACTCTTCTTCCTGAAGTTCCTTCTATGCCTGTTTCTCAAGTGGGATGATCATTTCTCCTAACAGATCCAGAGGCCACTTCAGACGTGTAACATCCTGTGACGACTCTTGAAGCCTCACACTGGTAGGCGGTCCTTCAGCACTCACTTATCCCTTCCAGGACATGCGTCAGTGAACTGCGTTCCAATAGTCAGATCTGGCTTGCCGCCTATCTCTGTATGGCTTGCAAACTAAAAATGGTGTTTACATTTTAAAATGATAAAAAAAAAATCTGTGATACATGACAAATTATAGGATATTAAAATTTCAGTGCCCAAAACATTTTATTAGCATGTAACCATGCCTATTTTTAAAAAAGACAAAATAAGGAGCTTGTGCTTGTGCAAGGAACTCAGAGCTCTGGGATCTGGGGTGGGTTGGTTATTATTTGTTTATATACAAGGTCTCACTACATAGCCCAGGTTGGCCTCAAACTCACAGTAATCCTTCTGCCTCAGCCTCCCAGCTACTAGGCTTACAGGAACGTACCATCATACCCAGCCCATTTTTTATACACTGTCTGTGGCTGCTTCACCACTACAAGGACAAGGGTGAGTAGGTATAACAGATTGTCCATGACTCATAGAGCATAAACACCAGCCTGAAAAGCCATTAAAATACTACTTGACCATTGACAAAAAAACTGGGCAACTGCTTCAGGCCACGGCTCTCTAAAGTAGAATGTGGATGCCTGAAGTTCCTTTCCTTCCCAGCGGTGCAGAACCAGAGTTTTTGCTACAAAGGTGATGTCATACTCACAACACTACCATGCAATAAATTCCAATTTATCTTCAGAGAGGATCAGATATAGCTTAAATAGACTGGTTGCAGGGTGGGGAGGGAGTGCATTATAGCTCAGTGGTATAGCACTTGCTTAGCAAGCACAAGTCCTTGGCATCAGGAAAAAAAGGTTCAATATATTCACCTTAAAGTTTAAAACAGGGACTGTTTAAGTACAAGCCCTATGATGTGTGTGATATCAGAATTTCAATAAGGCCACCGACAAGAATGGCCAGAACAGCTGTTTTCTTTCTCATGCTTGCAAGTTCAGAAATAAAGCAGAGCCTGGGGAGTCCTGTGTCTCTATATGAGGAAGCTCCTAGAACAACACAGAGATCCTTTACCCACCGCTGTGTGCGGGGAAGGGGAGCGGGCGGGTGCAGGGCCTCCCTCCGTCACAGACTCAAGCCACAGAAGGAGCTGGGAGACAGTCTGGCCCCTCAACTCTTCTTATGAGTTTCATTTTTCAAGGGACTTCACTGAGTTAAAAAATGAGTGGCTATTTCTTGGCAACCAGCTGCACGAACACTCCTAATTTATTCTACTTCCGAATTCACCTATTCTTCCAGTCCTTGGTAGCAAGTACATACCTAAAAGCCATAAATGAAATAGTGTCAAGCCACAGTGGTTTTACAGAAGGAAAAGAGGTCACAATCATCTCCCAAACTTTGTCTAGTGTCTGTAAACACTAATCAGTAGTGATAGGGAATAAAGTTCTTCCAGAAACAAACCATGAAACAGATTATCTACATTTAATTTCACTACAGAAAGGAAGTAGATAATTTATTTTTAATGGAGTGATCTCGACCCACCAATTTGGGCAGCTAATTCACACACATCCTGTCAATAATCCTGTCATTACTACATTGAGGTTGATGCTACTTTGTCCCTGGATGTTTCATGAAGGGTTCTGGGCTGATGACGCCCCCTGGTGGCTCCATAAGAAAAGGTTGATTCCAGTTTGACTTCACTGTATTTATACTAGGCCTGAGTAGGTTTAATGTAATCTCAGTGTTCTGGGATCCTGAGGCAGGAGAATGACAAGTGTAAGCCCAGCCTGCGCAACATGCAGATTTAGCAACATCCTGTCTCAAAATAAATACAAAAAGGGCTAGGGATGTAGCTCAGCGCAAAGGCACTGGGTTTGATGTTTACTATACATGAGTAGAAACACACACACACACAAGGTTTACGTACACACTTTCTTTTTTTTCCCATTTCCATTGGTGGAAATGTTTACCACATATTTCTTTTATTATATGTATTATAAAAACAACAGTTGGAAAAAATGTAAAAACTAACTCAACTCTAATTATTATCATATCCCGATTATTTATACAAAGAAACTGTACTTCATGCTCTTCTTTAAGGGAATGTCTAACACATCAGATTTTTCAGGTTCAAGAACAAAACTCAGACACAGCTCCACTTGGGAGACTAAGCACAGCACTCAGGAGCACTGGGCAGCATCATTCTCCAAAGCACTCACACTTAACGCAGGCAAGAAAGAATCCTTAACTCCAGTCCTTTCAACCCTACACCTGCTCTTCCCAACCAGTAAAGCAGGTGCTTAGTACATTTGAGGTGCTGGGTTCAACCTCCAGCACATACACACATATGCATGCACATGTGTGTGCACACACAAACACACACACAAGCTCCCCAACTCAGCTGAGCATGGTACTGCACATCTGTAATCCTGGTACTCTGGGAGGCTGAGGCAGGAGGATCACAAATCTGAGTCCAACCTGGGCAATTTAGTGACTTAGCTGTTGAACAAAAGAAAGGGAGGAGGAAAGGAAGAGAACGAAGGTGAAGAAGAAAGGAAAGGAGGAGGGACGGAGGGAGAGAGAGGAAAGAAGGGAGGAGGATAGGATGGAGGGAGGGAGGGAAGGAAGAAAAAAAAGGAAGAAAAAAAGCTGGGGAGTGCAACTCAGTGCAAAGATTGAGTTCAATCCCCAGTACTGGCCCCCCAAAAAAGGGAGAAAAAGAAAAGAAACAAAATCCCCAGCTCATCTAGACACTGAAGTAAAAAACTAGGGCAAGATCTCACTGCTTCCTTTTTCCTGGCCCCCTACAGCCACACCATCAGCAAGTCCTGTCAACTCTACCTCGGGATCAGCGCCATGTCCACTCTTCTGTCCACTTCCTCTACCACCTCCCTGGTCTCCAAGGCCACTGCTTACCCCTCACCCCCACCCCGAGCAGCCTTTCCACGTCCCCTCCGCGGCAGTCTCACTGTCTACTCCCACAAGGCAGCTACACTGTAACTGTAAAGTCCTGCTTCCTGTCACACACACAGACTAAAACCCCGTCACCGGCTTCTAAGGCTTTCTGGGATGTGGGGTCCCTGGCCTTTTGCGCATTACTGTCTGCTTAGCTTACTGTGTGTCCACCAGCTGGGATTGGAGTTTGTTCTTCAAACATTCCAAACCCCTTCTGCCTGAGGATCACGGGCCTGGAAGGTCTTCCCCTACTGGCTGCCATGGGACTCCGACTGTTCAGATCGAAGTTTAGGGTTTACCTTCTCACGGACGATTCCTTTGATCACCTCGATACAAGGTTACCATTACTCAGCGATCGTCACCACAGCATCTTGTCTAAATTTCCTGCCTAGCACTGTGACTATATTTCCCTTGATTATTTTTATGGTTACTGTCTCTCTCTCCTAAAATATAAATTCCAGAAATGAGAATTGTTTCATGTCTGATACTGCATCGTTAGGGCATAAAAAATGCTTGATACAGAGAAGATGCTAAGTAATATTTGTTATTTATTGAATAAGTGAAAAATAGAATAACAGTAATAACCACAAGTATAATGGCAAAAACTTTCCACAACTTAAAAGAAAATTTGCTTTTTTTTTCTGTATTGAGGATTGAACCTAGAACCTGCTACTTGGCAAGTGTTCTGTGTTAGCACTGGGCTGTATCTCCAGTCTTTAATTTTTTATTTTGAAAGAGATTCTTGCTAAGTTGCCCAGGTTGGCCCTGACCTTGTGATCCTCCTGCTCAGCTGCCCAAGAAGTGGGGATGACAGGTGCGTGCCACAATGCCTGGCTAAAAAGCAAATTTGATATCAAGAACATTTCAACCTGAAAAATTAACAAGGCAAAATCTCACTGAAACGTGTCCAAATAATTACATTAATTCACTTCGCAGTTTCTTTTTTTAAAGATCTTTTTTATTAGTATGTTTTTAAAACAGAATAATTAGGGTTGGGGGTATAGCTCAGCAGCACAGTGCCTGCCTGGCAAGTGCAAGGTCCAGAGTTTGATTCCCAATACCAAAAAAAGAGAATAATTATATTCACTTTGGGGAATTGGTACACGTATATGTTGCATCTGAATTATTTTTACTTCTCCTCTTCTTCCCCATTGATTCAAATGTTTATTTTCTGAACTTGGATTAAATGTATATCTAAGTTGCATAAGCATTGAGTTTGCATTTCCAGGGCTTTGCACTGAACCTGGCACATAGTAGGTGTTCAATAAATGTTTCCTGAATCAATGCTCCTCCGGGTAGGCAATAAAATCCAGTAAGTTTGATGGATATTGTAATAAATAGGGACTTAACAACGAAAGCAGTAGAACTTTGCACAGTCATGTAGGTCTTAATCAACTCATTCTAGAGCAGAGTGCTGCTCCAGAGGTTTGCAAACTTACTGCAGTTATCAACAGTTACTGACATAGAGACTACAAAAATGTTTCATATAATATCCGTGCATCAATGCAAAGAAATGAATATTCCAACAGGCTGGGGATTTAGCTCAGCAGCATAAACACCTGCCTTGCAAGCGTGCGGTCGTGAGTTTGATCCCCAGTACCAATAAAAAAAAAAAAAAAAAAAAGAAAGAAACAAATATCCCAAAATCTTTAACTGGAAAACAAATTTTGGTTTAATAAACTGAATTTCAGGAAAGGCAGGGTAAGAGAAGGTAATGGGATAAATTGGCTCAAAGTATGTTTGAAAATGACATGATGAAATGCAATAATTTGTATAATTAATATATACTAATAAAAACTTCCTAAAAATAAACAATGACCATTTAAGAAATTGAGTTTCAAGCATGAAACACTAGTGAACCCTTTTGCTGTTTTTTTTAAAGACTCTTTTGTAGATTAAATCTTTCACAGAAGCCATCTCTAAATAATCCTGACCACAAAAGAAAAGAAGGTTTTTATTACCTTGGATTATCCTGTAACTCCAAAGGCCCTTTGCTGGTTTCAGCGGACAGGCTTCCACACTGGGACAGAAAAACAGGTAGCAGTTGGGTTGTCCAGCTGTTTTTCGAGTGTCAAAGATCATCAAGTTACATGCTTTATTCCCTGCAAGGAAAGGTTTTATAAGCATGATTCTGAAATAAATTTTCTCAGGAGTAGCACAAACAGGTCGAACTTTGTTTACTCTGGAGTCCAACTCAAATACCTCTGTTCATTTTGTTTTCCTGCTTGCTGACTGCTGAATCATTTCCTTTTCCTTAGTCTGGTTGTATAAAGCAATTTTAAAAGACACTGAATGTGCAAAGCTTAGGGTAACCATTGGCAAAACTAATTTTGAATACTCTATTTAATTTTCTAAAAATAAGGCCAGAAATATCCCTGATAATATACAGAGTCTTTACAGAACTCTATACCAGCTGGATCTTCATATATGGCTGTAACTCTACCCTGAAGGTATCTCAAACACCTATAAAACTCTTTGAGTCAGGCTTTCTTAGGTGGAGCAAGTAAATTAATCATCTCAGAAATATCATGCCTCCTTTCACAAAGGATTTGAGTAGTGTATGGAACACAAAGCCCATCTTATCATTTACTTATGTATTAAATTGTATTAATTAATTATATTTGTTTGCTTATTTATGTACTTATTGTAGTACAGGAGATTGAATTTGGAGCCTTTGCGCTGAGCTAAGCCCTTTTAATTTTTTGAGATATGGTGTCCTTATTTGGTTCAGGCCGGCCTTGAACTCATAACAATCCTCCTGTCTCAGCCTCCCAGAGTACTGGGATTATAGGTATGTGACCCCACTCATGGCTTTGTTATTTATTTTTGTAGAAGACAAGGTTTTCCTATTTTACCCTGGATAGGCTTGAATTCTTGGGGTCAAGAAGTCTTTCTGCTTTAGTCTCCAGAGCAGCTAGGACTACAGGAGTATACTGTCACACTTCACTTCTTTTAATTTTATTATTATTTTGTTATTTACTATTTACTATTATTTTGCAGTACTATGGATAGAACCCAGGAGGCTTTGTCAGTGAGCTATATCCCCAGCTTTCTTTAAAGCACTAGTTTTATGTCCATCTGTAATACATGTGTGCGTGTATATATATGGTTTTTTTTTTTTTTGAGACAGGATCTTGCTTAATTGTCTAGGTTGGCTTTGAACATGCAATCACCCTGCCTCAGCCTCCTGAGTACATAGGATTACTGATGTGATCACTATGTCAGGCTTTTTATTTTTTCAGTACAATTCTTTTGCTGTTTCTTCACATTTCCATTTTTATCATTTTTTTCTATTTTCCTTCACCTTCCACTTCTGGCTTCTTTTTTCGTTGTCTCATGTCCAGAAGCCATTATTCTCTCTATTCATCATGGCCATCTTGGCTTATGACCCTTGAGGGAGCAGCATACCTCTGGTCGGGCTGGAGGTCAAGAGGCACATAGACTATTAAAAACATACCATTTGTCCGGGCACAATGGCGCACACCTGAAATTCCAGCTACTGGGGAGTGTAGGGCAGGAGGATCGCAAATCTGTGGACAACCTGGGTAATATAGTGAGACCTTGTCTCAAAATAAAACAACAGAAAAAACTGGAGCTGGAGCTCCGCGGTATAGCACTCGCCAAGCATGTGCAAGGCCTTGGTTCAATTCCCAGTACCACGGAGGAGCGGAGCAAATGGTTTGCCAACATCACCACCACCTCTAGTCAGGCAATTCAGGTGGGAAAGGAGACTCAGCCCCAGCAGGGTTTAATCACCTCATTTCTCTCCTACTTGGGCAATAAGACAGGCCCTCCTTCTCCCCTTTTCTAAAAATGTGACACCTGCAATACCATTCTTTTTGCTACTTAGATAAATGGAAGAATCCAGAAGCCCAAACATCACAAAATCTTATGCTCTTTGTGTTTATGTTATTTCTCTAGAGTCCACAGCTATTATTAAACTTTCAAAGTGCCTTCTGAATCCTAGACAATTAAATTATCATTGCTCAATGAATGAGAAAAATGTTTTCAGGGCCACTAACTGTGGCCCACAGAGCAGTAATAGTACTTTTGCTTGGGAAATAAAATAGCAAATCTTCATTTCTTGGAATGCAGGACAAATGCAGGGTTTCCTAAGATGTCAGGAAATACCTTTACCTATAATTCAGCAGGTTTGCAGATGAATCTATTTTTAAAAAATGGGGATAGGGTTTACTTGGGTTTGAACTCAGGGCCTTCATGTTGAGCTACATCTCCATGCCTTTTTATTTTTAAGACAGGATGTCCCTAAGTCACTAAATTTGCCTAGGCCGGAATTCTCCCGTCTCAGCCTCCCAGAGGGCTGGAATTATGGGAATGTGCTACCACACCTGGCTCACATAAATCTTTATATTAAAATTAAAAGAAAAAGTATAAATTTAAATTAAATTTCTATAGGGTTTTTTTTGGTGGGGGGTGCTGAGAATTGAACCTGGGTCCTTTACATAGTGATCTACATCCCTACCCCTTTCTAGTTTTCTTTTTTTGAGGCTGCATCTCACTAAGTCAGTAAATTGCCCAGTTTGGGCTCAATCCTGCATCCCCCGGTGTCAGCCCTCCTAGATTATATGCATGTGCCACCCTGCCCAGCAACCTCTGTGATTTCTACAAATGACTTCCACAAACAATATCCAAAGCATAATGCTCAATACAAGACCACTGCAGAGATTCTTCCTACCGACACCACACATATGGCATTTGTTCTGCGCTACTTCTCCAATGGCCAGGTATCATATGATTCAGTTTGATTTCATTCTGACCCTAACCACCTGGCGTTAGCAGCAGACTCCAGGTTGAGCATTTGAGGGCTTAGCCCAAAGCATGCTTCAGACAATGACCCCAATGCAGAAGCCTGTCTCTATGGAACTGGGGTGTGCCACCTTCCTAGCCCATGGGTGTATATGTTTATCAAACTTTAAGTTCCTCAGACCCCATCATTTAGGGGACTGGATGGAGGTTTCATTACCAGGAGTGATTGATTCAGTTACTGGCCACTGTGATTGAGCTCAACCTCCAACTCCTCCTTGGAGGTCAGGAAGTGAAGCTGAAAGACCCAAATTTCTGATCAAAGTGTCTTTCTGGAGACCAGCACCCATCCAGAACTCTTAGTCCTAGAAGCTGCAATACAATGGTGGTCAGTTGCTTGCTTCTTCACTTACCCTAAGCCACTGACCAGTCAGTGGTTCGGTTCCCATATGTCTACCCCATTGTGAATCACTGGTGTAGTCGCGTCCCCTATCTACTTATGTCATGAAACATAGGGATGAAGAGCTACATATTATTTACCTGCTATGTTCTGTGTTGAACAGCAAGAATTAATGCAGTCTTCTTGAGTTGTTGTATGGATGGGCTCATTGCCTCTGATTCCCCTAGAGAGAGATGACTGGATGTCAATGACCACGTCTTCTAGACTCTCCTTGAGGCAGTTCTGACTGGTGGAGGGACTTAGTGTCAGGAAGCATATTATCACCAAACTGAAGGTCAAGTGCTGCTCTTCCCTGAAGAACATTTTAGACTCAATTTAGATTTAGCCTTCGAAGGTTAAGGATGACCCTCACTCGGACATCAGTTTGCTTCAGGAAGATTAGACAGATGGTGGATTTTCTCTCTAGAATAAAAATAGAAAATCATCAATGAGTTTTGTTTCTTTTAACAAACCAGCGGCGCCACATGCCTGTAATTCCAGTACTCCTGTAAGGCTAATGCAGGAGGACTGAAATTTTAGTCCTGGGCGATTTAACAAAATTCTACCTCAAAATATTAAAGGGTTGAGGATATAGGTCAGTGCCATGGCCCTGGGTCCAAGCCCAGTATTGAAAATTAAAACAAAACAGCCGGGCGTGGTGGCTCACGCCTGTAATCCCAACACTCGGGAGGCTGAGGCACGAAGATTGTTGCGAGTTCAAGACCAGCCTAGGCTATAAAGTGAGCTCAAGGCCAGCCTGAATTACATAACGAGACCCTGACTCAAAAAAAGAAAAAAAAAAGAAAAGAAAATTAAAACAAAACAACATCAGGGAGGGAATATTTCATTTCCATCAAGTCAATGAAAATGACCCACATACAGAAATAAATAAGTTTTAAAATTATCTTTAGTAGATCTGAGATAATCTTTCATTTAAAACTTGAAGTCAAGTGTGGTGGCACAAGCTTATAATCCAGTACTCACAAGGCTGAGGCAAGAGGATTGTTTCAAGTTCAAGGCCAACCTGGGCTACATAGCCAGACTGACTTTGTCTCAAAACAAACCAACAAAAAAACAAGCCTAAAACTTGACAAAAGCTGGTGTGGTGCCACTTGGTAGGCTGAAGTAGGATAATCACATCTAGTTAGAGGCCAGCCTGAGCTACACAGTGAGTTCAAGGTATTTGCTTTGGCAGCTCACATACATAGTGAGTTCAAGGCCAGGCTGAACTACAGAGACCTTGTCTCAAAAGAACAAAATAAATAAGTAATAAAAACTGGTGAAGAATAAGCTGCGCAAATATAAATACTATCTGATCAATGATTAAAAGCTGACAGTGCTTGCGGAGAGATATAAACAGCAGGCCTTTCCCTGAGTGCCAGAATTCTTTATCTTCTTGCTTTTTTTTTTCTGATTAGGAGGAGAGAGAACACAAAATTTCTTTAACTACTGAAGCTGTGATAATTGATTAGAGCACGCTTCTTTTCTCAGTAATAATCAGCATTTAAAAACCATCTAAGGAGAAAGAGAGCCTCTTTAATAAATGGCGCTGAAAAAAACTGGCGCCACACATGCAAAGACTAAAACTGGACCCATATCTTTCACCATGTACTAAGCTAAGAATGTATCAAAGATATTAATATTAAAACAGAAACATTAAATCTTCTGGAAGACAGAGGAGGTAAAACTCTTGAAGACATTGGTGTAGGCAAAGACTTTATGAACAAAACCCAGATTGCAGAGGACTATTATGAAGAATCAACAACTGGGATCTTACCCTACTGAAAAGCTCTTGCACATCAAGAGAAACCACCAACAGAGTGAAGAGACAACCTACAAGTGGGAGAAAATGTTTGTCAGCTGTTCCTCAGACAAAGGATTACCATGGAGAACATGTGAAGAACTCAAAAAAATAGTCCTTGCCGATTTAAAGACCCAATCCAAAAGTAGGCATCTGAGATGCATACACACTTCTCAGTTGAAGAAATACAAACAGCAAATAAATATGGGAAAAAATGTTCAATATCACTGGTCATTCAAGAGACGCAAATTAAAACAACATTGAGATCCACCTTACCCCAGAAAGAATGGCTAGTATCAAGAAATCAACCAATAACAAATCCTGAAGGGTTGTGGCGGAAAAGGAACCCTTCGCCACTGTTGGTGGGAATGCAGATTGGTACAACCACTGTAGACATAAATCAGTGTGGAGATTCCCAAAAAAAGTAGGATTGGAGGTCCCATTCAACCCAGCTTTTCTCTTCTGGGTATCTTCCCAAAAGAATTAAAAACATCATACTGTAGTGACATATGTATACCCATGTTTATAGTAGCACAGTTTATAATAGCCAGATCTTGGAATCAATCTAAATGTTCATTGACTGAGAAATGGATAAAAAAAGATGTGGTATTTTTATATAATGGAGTATACTCAGCCACAAAGAATGATAAACTGGATACTTTTATAGGTAAATTGATGCACCTTGAGAACATACTCACTAGTGAAATAAGTAAGATGTCATTAGTGTAACAAGCTGAAAGAAAAAACATATGTATATATATATATATATATATTATATATATATAATAGTTAAGACAGTTAAAAAAATTACCTAGGGGCTGAGAATATAGCTAAGCAGGATAATCACCCACCTGGCAAGTGCAAGGTCCTGAGTTCAACTCCTGGTACCAAAATAAATAAATAAATGTAAAAATAAAAATAGATACCATCTAGTGAGCAGTAGGCATCTTGCTAAGCAATTTACATATATTATCTCTTTTAATCCTTAGGCCAGCCTGCAAAATAGTTTTTTCTATCTCATTTATAGTAATGAAAAAGAAAGAAAGGAGAAGGAGCTTCTTTTATTGCTGCTTCTTATAATTATCAAACTGGAAGCAGATAATTTTAATAATCTAATTTGACGAATTAACCATCCACAAGAGAGAATATTCTGGCTCAAGTGAGGACAAGTTGGGGCAGGCATCCTTTCTGATGTCTCTAAAAACAGAAAAGTCACACTGTACAATGCCAACTCCATTGGTGAGGAGGTTCTTTTAGGAAAAATAAACAAACTGGCAAAACAAGATCAGAATATCCTCATCCACCCAACCCAAACTTTCCATAATACAAATTGTTGACTGAACAATTAGAACAGAATTACCCCTTCTTTAATTTGTTTTTGCTATGAACCTCTCTGGTAGTCTAAGGAAGCTTCACATCTATTCTGAAATAGGCATTTCAAAATGCATACAATGAAATGTACAGATTATCAAGGAAGCCAGTTATATTGAAGTATAATTATCAACCTAGTTTTAAAACTGTGCCTATAAAACTCTGATGAAAGAAATCAGAGATTTTAATAGATGTTCCACATTTATGGGTAGGAAGACTCAATATTGCTAAAATGTAAGTTATTCCAATTTGACCTACAGATTTAATATAGTCCCAATCAAAATCGCAACAAATTACTTTGTGGAGACCAACAAAATGGTTCTTAAGTTTACATGGAAATGGAAAGAAAAATGGAATAATGAATACAACAATGGAGACCTGTAATGGTGGATATATATCACCATACATCTGTCAAAATCCACAGAACTGTAAAACACACAAGTCAATCCTATGTGAGCTGTGAACTTTACTTGGAGGAAAACCCCCAACAACTGGAAAACAAAAACAAGTCTATGATAGTAGAACACAAGTCTAATACCTGCCTTGTTAAATGTTATGTCTGATCTCTCCATACAATAAAATACTAGTATTTATGGTTTCTCACATGCCGGTCTCCATGCTAAGTACTTTACAAATATTCTTTATTTCTTACAAGAATCCTAGTGAAATCATTTACTATTTGCATTATCAGTTAAAATAAAACCAAAAAATATTTGTGAGCTATATGAATATCTTTATTATCTTATGAATAACAAATGGTGCTATTAACTGCCAAGGATTTGGAAGTAGTGTTGACTATAAAAAATGTTGAGACGTGCAATAGGTAACATATGAAACTATCTGATTTCTACTGGCTGAAATCACAGCTGTTAATATTCCTGTGGTCTTTGCTTGCATTTTTTCTGGAAGGAAACAATCTTTCAGTTAGAGGTTTTATGAAATAATAAAGTTTCTCCACTTAAATTCTCAGACTTCCAGAATTTCCTCCATGGACCCCCCAGATAAAAGTCTTGGCATAAATTACTTGTTACGCTGCAATGTTTTGTAAGCCTCTTTTCTAGCCCTAAGGAGACAAAGGAGAAAAACCCAGGTAGAAGATGCTTGGAATGGATTCTGATAAAGTCTTTCCTCCAGGGTGCAAGGAAACCTCAGTTATGCATTGAGAGGGAGGAGCTGTGGTCTCAGCTTGCAGCTTCTTTATAGAGCTGGACTGGAGAAGTACTAAAGAATTTATCTCATTAAGAACAGTCAATGATTATTAGCTAATTAAGATCTCTGCCTCTTTTTTGCCTCCACTTTCTGAATTTATTATCATTATTATTTGGCTGGGGACCAAAACAAGGGCCTTGCACCTGCTAGCAAGCACTCAGCCACTGAGCTACCACCCCAGCTAATTAGGTCTGCTAATCCACCGTTCTTTTGGCCTAAAAGGTTTGAAGTTGAGAGGAATCCTGCTGAAAGCCAGGAGTAATGAATATAGGGGGAGAGCGAGGAAGTACTTGCAGGTACTCCAGCCTGCTGGGGTCACTAAAACTTATTTGTATGTAACTACTTCAAATAATTGGAAATCATTTTACTTAGAGCATACTCTTAATTTTTCACATATTGGACATACTAGACAATAATTCAACACGGAAAATGCAAGACAAGGCATCCAAGAAAACATGGGAATTTTTCCCTTCCCCTTGGGAAAGGATGTGCTCGTTGACTATTCTGCCGTTGGGATACTGAGGCAAAGCTCCGGCTGGCCCCTCATTCACCCCGGCCTGGTCCTCGGAGGGGCTCCGGTTAGGGCGGGAGGTGCACAGGTCCCAGGAAAGCAGGGGAGAGCTGCCCGCTGCGAGGGGCGAGGTTACTAAGGGCCGCGAAGGAGGGGCGGCGAACGCCTTACCTGGTGGCAGAGGACCCGTATGTCCTTGTCCCCCACTCGGGGAGCAAACCCAGCTCGTGGCGCTCGCAGGCAGGGCTGACGGATCTGTGCGGCGACCGCACCGCAACGCTGCAGCGTTTTGTGGTTAGCAAGTTCCTGCTTCCGTCCCAGGGACCCAAAGTTTGTGGCGGGGGAAGGGCACGTTCAGGCTCCGCAACCCGGAGCTGCTTCCTAGCAACATCCAGCGCCCAGGAGAGCCGAGCCCGCCGGCGGGGGAGCTGTACTGCCGGTGCGGAGCTGCACAGTGTCCCCACCTCAGACTAGAAAACTGTTCTGCGTGGGTCGGGTCTGCAAGGCCAGGCCTGACCAAATGCGCAAGGA